TCTTCTTATGATAGAAGGGAGTGTTCACTAGCGGTCTCAGTAATATAGAGGATCGAAGATCTATTATTTACTACAGCTAAACCTACTATAGCCTAGCGTATGGGAATAACTCGGATATAAAGATATATATTTTTATAATCCTTGAAAATCACGCTATTATATAATATATATATTAATTATATAATCAATATATATTTCTTCTGTTTTCTTAAGAAGAGTTATTAGAGATATATATAGCTTAATAATTTCTATAATATATAATTAGTTACTATAGATTATTTAATAAAATAATATTAAATAGAGAAATAATATTTATTTACTTTATAAAAATATTATAATAATAAAACTAAATAATAAATTAAATTATAAAAAACTTAAACTATTTAAAATTCTTAAGAAAAAATTAAATACTAACTATAGATTATAATTACTAGATATAATATATATTTATCTAGTTTTTTATATTTTATTATTTAAAAAATAGTAGAAAATATATTAAACTAAAATTATCTAATTAAAGTTTATAAAGAAAAACTAAATTAGAAAAAATACTTAAAAAGAAAATATAAAATAGTTAAATATTTTATTTAATAAAATAGAAAAACTATAATAAGAAAAATAATATATAGAAACTAGTTAAATATCTAAAAAAGTATTAATATTTAATTTACTAGTTCTATTAGAAAAAAAAAAAGAAATTAAATTAGAAAAATCCTTTTTAAAATCTAATAAGCTTAAGTTTATTTTAAAAATAATTTCTAAAAACTAAATCTTCTCTATAATATATTACTTAGATATATTAAGAAAACTAAAAGCCTGATTTAAAGATAGTTAATTTTCTTTATTAAGCTCTTAGAGATTATATTAAATCTCTTACTATAATTTATTTTTAATATAGCTATATACTTTATAGATATATTAGATATACCTTAGAGCTATAAAAAGATTACTTTAGAATTAAGTTATTTATTAATATAAAAGAAGAATTTTCTTATCTATATTAGATTCTTCTCTAGTTAGTTTTTTCTACTATATTATTAGTTTTTCTATTAGAAGATAAGATTAGAAGAAAAATCTAGAGAAAAATATAAAGAATACTTATAGTTAGATATAATAAATATTATAATATAACTACTATATATAAAAAGAGAAAAAAACTTATTAGATTATATAAAATCTTAAGAATAAAACTAATAGAGAGAGAGTATTATATTATAAATAAAGATTTCTATTATAGATTATATAGTTATATATATTTTATAATCTAAAGAATAGAAATAATAAAAGTATTATACTTCTATTATAGAATATACTTAGATTACTAGAAATAGTATACTCTTTATATTCTATAACTACTATATATATATATTTATTTTATTAATTAGAAATAGTTCTTTAGATAGTTATTAATAATATTATCTATATATTTATTATTACTAGCTTTATAATACTTATATATTAATAGTAACTTATATTATATAGCTTATAATAATCTAATTATACTACTTAGAATAATACTCTAATTAGTTTAATCTAATCTACTCTAGACCCTATTTAGTATAAGTTATCTAATTATTATATAGATATATAAATCTAGCTATAGCTATAACTTCTAAAAGAGAAAACTTATTATCTATTAATAATAATTATTCTTTTATATATATTTTAATTAATTAATTATATCTAGTAAGTATTTATTTTAATTAATTAATTATATTTTATTTTAATTATTATTATTTTATTATTAATAACTATTATAAATAATAATTATAATAATAAAATAAATATAACTAATATTTTTCTTTTTTTAAATAGCTAAGTTTATATAAATAACCTAGTTTTTTAACTAATAGTAATATTAATTAGTTAATAGCTAAAAGAACTATATTTTTAATATATAAAAAATATTTTTTTTTTTTTATTAGTTTTACTATAAATAAAAGTATATCTTAAGATTAGATAATATATAACTAGATTATATAATTTTTTTAAAAATATAATTAGTAGTTTATATCTAAATCTTTAACTCTATAAGATAAAGTTAGATATTATACTTTTAGTCTGAATATAGATATTAATATCTTAAAAACTCTAATAATAGGAGCTATTTATATAGCTAGATATATAAATAGCCTAGCTATAGCTATAGCTTCTAAGAGGGGAAGCTTATTATCTAATAATTATATCTACTTATTAAGCTTATTAATTATTAATTAATTACTAGATATCTTAAATAATAATAACTATAATAGCTATATCTTATATAAATATTCTAATCTCTTAGGGTCTAGTTAATACTTCTAATAAAGCCCTTTAAGAGATAATAACTATTATTAAAGATAATATAAAATAGTTATTTACTAACTATATTTATTATATACTACTTCAGTTAATTAAGGGCCTACTTATAGTAATAAAGCTGCTTTTAATAGTATAGATTAAGTAGCTATATCTGCTTAGTCTATTACTTTATTATATAGCCTACTTAGAGCTATAGTAGGTACTTATAGAGAATAAAGACTAGCTAGAAGAAAAGCTATATCTTAAGAATAGCTACTTATTTATATAGATCTACTATAATCTAATATATAATTTATAGTTTTAGTATATTATATATTATATTAAGATAATTAGAATAGAGATAGCTCTTAAAAGTTAATTAAGCTTATATTTTTATTTTTAGTTATCTAGTTTAGGTTTAGATCAGGGTATTAGATCAGATTAGATTAAGCTTAGTATTACTGGTATTACTAGTATTAGTATATCAGAGTTTATTTTAGTTTAATCTAGAATTATATATATTTAGAAATAAAAAAGTTAGTTATTTTTAAGATTATAAGTTAATTTATCTCTATAAGTATAGTATATATTTACTACTATAGGAAATTTTTATTAGAAATAATATAGATTTAATATTAATCTAATACTTATTTATATATACTTAGTTATACTATATAATAATATAAAAAATATAAACTTCTAATTAATTAGAGAGCTTATTATAATAATATAACTATTTATAAAATAATAAATCTTAGAACTATATTTATCTAAACTATTTCTATATTTTAATAATAATTACTCTATTATATATATTTATTCTAATCTAATTTATTATCTCTAGTTCTAATATATTATATATTATATTAAGATAATCTATATAAAGATAGCTTTTATTTAATTAATTTTTTATTTATTTTATTTTATTAAATTTAATTAGAGTTTAGATTTAGACTTAATTAAACTTAGTATTAAATAAGATTTTATTACTAAATAGAAAAAATAGTTTTCTAAAAGTTAATATTAATTTATTTTTATAAATATAGTATATATTTACTATAGTAGAGTTTCTAAGATTTATATAGAGATATATTTTAATTTTATATCTATTTATCTATATATAGTTCTTTTTAATAATATAAAGTTAATTAACTTTATAATAATTACTTTATTATACTTAGAAGTAACTATATTAGTTTTCTATATATAATCTCTTATTATTAAGTTATCTAGATTATCTAGGCAGCTGTAATCCAGCTAATATATAGCTGCTAGGCTGCTTAACTAAGCAGGGTTCAGCTAATAGCTAGCTAATCCCTGCTAGGACTCTTTTAACCACAATATACTTATTATTATAAAATATAATCTAATTAGTTTTATAATAATTATTAATTTAATTAGTTTTATAATTATTATTTATTATTATAAAATATATATTAATTAGTTTAAAATTTAAATAAATATAATTAAATAGAATTCTATATCTAACTAGAACTTAGATTTAGAAATCTAAAAAAAAATAGAAAATATCTCTTATTAATCTATTAAAACTGAGAGCTGAGTTCCCTATAGACTGAGGGATAGGCAGACTATAATTATTCGATCAGAGCTGTTCTGGTTACCGAGGGCTGCTTTGAGCCCTTTCAGGACGCCGGTGGCTTTGGCATCGAACATTTCGGCTGGTCCAAGGCGGCCACAAGCCTTGGCGATCGATTGACCTTCTTCGTGGACGGTATACCCGTGCCCGGTGGCACCATCTTCTGTCTGCGAGCCATCGGAGTAAACAACCAAGGTAAGTGGTACTAGGCTCTGGAGCCATCGCCGGAACTCCGCAGCCGTATCGTCTTTGGACGCGGACTGGAGTGGTTCCTTGTTTTCACTAAATGCATCCTGCAGCAGCAATGGCGCCCGCAGTGCGGCAAGAGCTGGTCCGTCCTGCCAAGAGAGGTACTTCTCAGTATAAACACACACAATATCGCAGAAGTAATACACAGCCAAGTCAGCTATACATCAATCGCTCGTCTTAACAGCAGATAAGTTAGTCAGGGCTGCAGCAATCGCTCGTCGCGGCAGAACAAAGACAAGTTGATCAGGGCTACCATAATGGCTCGTCGCGTCGGAACAAAGACATGTTATCAGGGCCACAGCAATCGCTCGTTACAGCAGAAGACAGGACTACAGCAACAGCTTGTCTTGATAGCAGACAGGCTGTTTAGTGATATAGCAATTACTTGTCTTAACAGCAGATGTATAGCTCAGCTTTACTCGTTGAAAATTGTACTGCGAAGTATCTTTTTCAGCAGGCTAACTGTATAACAGTGTAGTGGGGATAACCCGTCCGAAAACATACTAACTGTGGGTCAATGGGACTACTGGTATAGTGGCTGATTGTTGAATCCAAATAATATTGTTTGGATTCAACAATCAGTTTGTGTATTGGAATATACAGAAGAGAAAGAGAATAGAGTTTAACAATAATGAAACTGCCAGGGCCCGACAACTCAACACAATAAATACGAAAGCTTAAAAATATAGCCTTTCCTAGTCCGCCCAAGATGTATTGGTACAAACTTTAGAATATATAGATAGAGATTTATCCCTCTCCCCCTTACCAACTATCTTACCTCCTCAACAACTGTTTCCAGTTCCCAGAAAATCGCTTGGTACGCTCTCTTTCGCTACTCTTATATTATTACGGGCGAGCTCTTACTCCAATCACGATGCCTCCTAAAAGGAAAGGAAAGGGCGGTAATAAGCGAGCTAGTATCACCGTCGACCAGCCCACTGCCGACCTTTCCAAGGTGCTGACCGACTTCGTGTCGTCGGGGAGCAACTCGACCTTTACCTGCGGTGGCGCTATCCCCCTGGCCGACATGGCCGCCGCTCGCTTGCCGGGTGGAAGGGCAGCTGCAGCGTCGCCGCCCCGCGTCGACGAAGACCGTCCGGTGGACAAGAAGCGTAAGGCGGCGGGCGGTAAGAGGGCAGGCGGCAAGAAGCGCAAGATGGCGAAGGGTAAGGCGGAAGTAGCCGAGCCAGAGGCCGCCAGCACCGAGCAGGTCCTTGAGCCTCAGCCCGGCGCGATCTTGGTCCGCTGGGACCGCACCGACGGC